GGTGCTGCTGTTGCTGTTGCTGTTGCTGCTACAGCTACTGTTGCTGCTGCTGCTATTGCTGGTGCTGATACAGCTACTGCTGCTGCTATTGCTGGTGCTGCTACACCTGTTGTTGTTGCTGCTGCTACTACTACTGTTGCTGCTGCTACTACTAGCACCATTGGTTTCAGCTGCTGGTGCTTACTTTGTCCAACTTTATCATTAGCCAAGCCCTCATTCCGCATTAGATTACATCAATCAGCTTAACTAGTAGTCGCCGCAGCATCATGACATATGTAAATGTATATCTCAGTAGCAATCAGCAACTTAACGAATTTGGAAATGTTGAATGGAATACCTTGATGGGGACAGCTGTACTCACCATACATCCACACCACCGACACACATTCCAGAGTGCAGAACAGATACATGTAGCAGGCGCCCAAATACCAGTCTATAAGCTGAACTATGTAGGTTCCTCCCTAGGGACATACAGGAATACAACCCACAAAACACTAGCCACATCCACAAGAAACCTCTGCTAAGTAGTATGTGTTTATGAGGAACTGGCTCATCAATGTTTGACCGGCACAGCTCCTGTCTACCTCTCAGAACTGATACAACCTTATTGTCCATCTAGATCACTTCGATCAGAAAACCAGAACCAGATTTGGATAACGTTCCTTCTCTTCAACTGCTGCTAAAGATTGGAATGATCTGCCTCACCACATCTGATCCTGCTCTGTTTATCCCAGATTCAGAAGTCTCCTAAACACCCATCTCTTCCGAGATGCTGTCTGGTGACTCTATTGACATTTTGTGCGCCTTGAGCAGGAATTTAGCCCTGAGCCCTGCTATACAAATGCTTATTATTAATAATATTATTTATTCTCAAATAATGATGATACTAGGTGTTCGCGAATGTGAGTGTACCATGCCCCACCAGTGACACTCGTCATAAACACAAACAACAGTTGTATTATGTGGAAGTTGCGATGGCTGAGTGGACTAGACAGCTGACATTGTGTACTGGCGATAAGATTCCCGACTCTGCGGGTATGGGGTCGAATCCCGAATGTGACTCAACCCAACAAAAGTATTGGAATCTGTACTTTACTAAGAAAGTGTAATCCCAGATATAACATATGTAAGAGTTATATTTGTTCATATGTCTACACGAAGACGTACGGAAACATATGGTGCAAGTTCAACTTCGTCACTAATTCGGACAATTTGGAAATGTCTTCCACAAGACTACCTTTAAATTGTTTGAAAGCCGAAACCTTGAATGTTTTAACGTTGAATGGGAAAGCTGATTTTCATTATTACGACCAATTTTAGTATTTCTTTAAGAGTTTAAATGTCGAGTTGAACATATTTTGGACCATCCTTGGATCTTCTTAGCTATTCGTGTTTCACAACGGTACATTCATATTAATCGCTTGTCACATTGGCTTCAAGCTTAAGGTTTAAATCAAGCATTGACCATCAGATGTCTTAACGACTTTCGGTATAATATTTGTTCGGAATATTAAATAGGATGAAAGTGTATGTGCAAGAATATCGCTGAGGGGCGCTCAGAGGGATGTCTGGAAATCGCAAATGTTTAGAATGCAATAATTCAGACGGAGCAGCCCAACTGAGTGTGACTCTCACTTTGTGTACAAAGTTCCGAAGTATTATAATGTAACGAAGTATAAAGGGTCCTACGCTGTTACAATATATTCTGTTATATTTAGCTGCAAATAACACAAGTCAAAACATTGATTTTACAACAGTCTCTTTTCCTGCTGACTGGGTTCCGTCATATTGCACACCTTAGTACAATAACCAGTCCAGTATATTGAGACCAATTCATTCAAATGGATACATAAATATTAATTAGTATTATTTGATACATCTAAGCACTTGCATATTGCAACACTACGTTCCTTCAAATCCTTGCAAACACGTCGTGCAGCGTGCTCTGTCGTACAGCGTGCTCTGACAAACAGAAATCTGGAAATCGTGGAAATCTCAAAACGAGGCTCTCCCACTAGAAATGTTTGGCGCTCCGGTACGGACTTGATATGTTATCAATCACATTGTGCGTTACGGAACTACACTGCATAAGCACAAAAAACCCATAACAGGTGTAACTAGTGAGTCAGATGAATTGTAAATCATTTTACGACCTCATCAAACAGGGACAGTCTGTGACGTCTTAGTTAAGGTCATGCTGCTTTAACCGCACCATAAAATATAGAAATACGATGTTATTACAGTTTAAAATTGAAATTAACTGGTAAATACCATTTACTTATGAAACAAGAAATAGGAATTCAGTGTAACCATAGTTGTTTGTAGTGTCTCTTTTCACTTTTACACGAGTAAAGACGGATCGCCTCAAAAGTAGGTCATTTTCTGAATAGGTTAATGAGACTCATCCAATAGGTTTCAGGATTCATGGTCTTAAGAAGAACACACTTCTAAATCTGATTTGTGGTAAAGATAGGTTCCTTATTATTGTGTCCAATATTTGTTCAGGGAACCGAATTTGTCTTGTTTGTGACATGTGCCATCAGTGGCGCTATAATGTATGGAATAACTTCATTGCATGCAAACATGGCATATAAGTAAATACTTATATGATGTAGAGAAAGCGCTCACGTGATTATGACGGACAACGGTTTTATGAGTGGTTTATTGACGTTATGTTTCTTGGTTAGTTAACACCGCACTCTTCAATATTCCAGCTATATGACGGTGGTCTGTTAATAATCGAGTCTGGACCAGACAATCCAGTGATCAACAGCGTGAGAATCGATCTACACAACTGGGATACAATGACATGTGTCAACCAAGTCAGCCAGCCTGACCACCCGATCCCGTTAGTCACCGCTTACGACAAGCATGGATGTCGTAACTCTAACCCGGATCTTCACGGGTATTTGACGTTAAGAACTGATACTCTAAATGTAGGTTAATAATTACCTGGGTGCAATATGTAATTCCAACCAAAGAGATCAAGACACACACAGAAAGTGTCACAAGATGACGCCTTCTGAACAAAAGACCCGGATATTCATTTACTAGGGCAGCAACGAGTGCCTCAACTTTGAAAAACTGAAATCAGACATAGCAGTAATACTATACTTAGATTATTTCTCTCAATATTAACATGCATGAAATAGGATTTGGGCATAGATTATACAATGAACGAAAACAGTTATGTACAAATATTTGGGTTGATTTATTGCAGTGAAATACCCAATATTATTAATGATGATCCGTTTCGTTGTCTCGAGACAAAGCAAAACTTCAGACATTGTTATAAAGAAGTTGTATATCCATAGAACTATCCCCTTGCTCAAAGCACATCTTTCAGGCATATATGATGTTTTCTTGTCCTAATTCGTCATCAGAGGCGGTGGGGTAGCCTAGTGGTTAAAGCGTTGGCTCGTCACGCCGACGACCTGGGTTCGAATCCCCACATGGCTACAATGTGTGATGCCCATTTCTGGTGTTCCCCGCCGTGATGTTGCTGGAATATTGCTTAAAGCGGCGTAAAACCAAACTCAGTCAGTTAGTCAGTCGTCATCAGTTGCTTTTTTTGAATGAGTTGTTTGACGTTCTTCATGGTCCATTATGAACATAAACACGAGCCCTTTGCTTTTTCAGAGTCACCTTTGCTGGTGATATGTGTTTTGTGTAACTTTTATATGTCTAAAGTTTTTATTTTTATGTATGTGGGGTTGGATGAATCTCACCTGAGAATCCAGACCAACTGTTAGTAGCATCAAGAAAAACAGAAACGACCACACGACCACACAGGTACTGGAAGTTGTACAAGAGCCTCTGGATACGTCACGAAGACCAACCCGGGACCTTCACCGTAAACATTCGTATTAATCACCTGTATCCTGTCATTCGTATAAATCACCTGTATCCTGTCATTCGTATAAATCACCTGTATCCTGTCATCTAATGGACGGAAATCTGTTCAAACTGATTTTGCAGTGATACTGAAATTTAATTGTGTCAAAACTTTGACCTGGGTCCCGATTTACAAAGCGTTCGTAACATTACGACCTGTCGTAACTCTATACCATTAGCTTACGAATGACGGTGGGGATAGGTTCCCTGATGACGAACGTTTAACATTTCCAAAGGTAACTGAACGGTTTCATGTAAATATAAAGCTACTTGCAACTCGAAACCACTTCCGGTGCAAGTAGGTTAACATCTCTTAAATCAAGCCCTGTGAAAGCGAACGGTTATGTAGGCAGTAGTGAGGCAAACAGTAGTGAAATCTTATCTCGTCTTGCTTCACTAAAGTCAATCCTGTGGTGATTTCCTTTCTTTTTTTCTAAGTGGTAGATATATTTTTTAATTGTTAATATTTTAAAGTTTTGCTATCATGATTATATGTTATTATTATTTTAATACTTTGTATTGATGTGCTCATTTCCCATTGTTTCAGAGTGGAAAAGCATGAGTCTCTCACTCTGTTGCTTGACCCACACCCTTGACACAGAGCGGGAGGAGAAGCCTGTCAACAAACGCTTGCTTGACCAGTACACTGTCAGTTTTGCCAAGAAGAGGAGGATCGGTCTGCAGTCTGTCATGCAGATGAGCCAGAACTAATCTGGCAAGTTATTTTGTTGCCTGTTCTGGGCCACCTTACATGGAATGATTTTAGCACTACGACTTTCATAAGTATATGTTAGAGTAAGGATGTTACGATCGTTGTAGTGTTGAGAACATGTGTTGCCTTGAACCAATTTAGTGCAATCGATGTACAATACTGCACGTACATGATTGATTTTGCCATTTGTTTTGCCATCTCGGGATCGGTTCCACGTGTCATCGGTTACCAATTGCGTAGATCGATGCTCATGCTGTTGATCACTGGATTGTCTGGACTCGATTATTTACTGACTACTGCCATAAAGCTGTAATATTGCTGAGTGTGGCGTAAAACTAAACTATCCCGCCTTGTCTGTCAGTGCCCACATATTGAGGAAATGGAAGTGATCGGTGCTGGGTTTCGGTCAGCTTTCAACAAATACTTCGGAGTGTTGCCAGGAACTTTCAGCTACAGAGCATGGTAAGATGGTGACTGAACAGGGATGAAACTCTGCACTAGTCTGAGTCATTTCATCTCATGTTAGACCCGTGAAGATCCGGGTTAGAATTGGCAGGTACAGCTGCAGGTTGCGATAGTGAACGATGTACTTGGTCTTGTTCATCAAGTTGGGTACGAGTTTTTCGACTTTGGCTAGCTTATTACCCCCCAGCAAGTTCTGTTGGTAGTCGGACATCCAGTCTGGGTTCACCATCAAACGTTCTTGGGCCAGGGGGTAGCCGTTGTGTGACTTGTGTCATGCTGCTGGGTACTCCAAGTCAACTTCGAGGATGTAACCTGCCCCCGAATCCGGCGGTATGCTCATGACGTCTATCTCAGTCACCCACTCGAACCCCCCGGTGGGTAGATACTGGCTCATAGCCCAACCGTACAGGTTGTTGGCGTCAAGATAGAGGAGATGATTAATGGGTTTGCTAGCATCGTAGCCCTTCACGTACTTATTGTTGGTTCTTGCGTAACGTTTGGCAGCCATGGAGATCCCACCTTGCAATCCTTTCTCGATGGACAGGTGCATGTTGTAATCAGTGAGGAGTTCCAGTTTAACTCTGGTTTTCTTAAGCAAGGCATCCCAAGAGAGACCGGGGCTGGTGTAATACCACGCAGGGTCGAGTTGATACTGCTTGAAACACGTCTTTCTGAACGTCTCGAACACGTCAGCCAGCAGGAGTACGTCCGTTCTCAAGTACAGGTCGTGGTAATCACCCAGGTTCCTGCAGCCCAGTTTCTCCCACACATTCTGGGCGTGGTCGTAATCGCCCTCCGTGATGGCCGAGTCGGTCAAGTTGCTGTAAAATTTACTCATGGGGGGTATTCGGGTATTGGCGAACTTGGCCAGCTGTTCATGTACTCGTAGGGGTAAACACCCTTCCTCATCAGCAGGGGCCGAGTCTCGGCGTCGGTGTATCGATCAGTGACGGGGAAGGTATCGTTGGCCTTGACCAAACTGTCGAGAGATGACAGCAGGAACTGAACTGAGTCTATGAACCTCAGGCCGTTCAGGGAGAAGGAGATGTATCTCTCCATGTTGTTGGGGATGCACGTCAGGTTGCCGTCGACCCTCGCGATGGCCTGCATGATCAAGTGAGAGTCGTACCCTCTCAAGTTGTGGAAGACCACGGGGATGTTGATTGTCTTTGGGTTGATTCTGAGCTTGGCATTGCATGCGCTGTGAGCAGGGAATGATTGGGTCATATGCATGGGAATGATAGTGTACAATTTCTTCCTGATGGTTTTCTCTTCCCATTACAAGCACTTTAGAAACTTTTCAGCCGCGTCGGGACCCCTGTACACTACGGGAGCATTCGTTTCCCCATCACATCAGACGACCACGTATCTGAACCCACAGGCCTCGTACTCCTGCGTTTTGTGCGTGTTGGGGATCGGCCCGATGTCAACGCTTTTGATCAAGGCTTCGAAGTCGGCGTAGATGACATAAGGCATGGACATCTGGTTCTTGGTTGGTGAATTTTAAGACATTGTCGCCTTCGTTGGGCATGTTGATTCGTATGGCCGTCAGTCCCACGCCTAGGCAATCCTCCCGGTGGGATTCTAATAAATCAGCTCGCGTGAAGCCGTGTAGGCATTGTTCACAAAAGTGTTTTTTCCCGTCAAATTTCGATTGGTCATGCAACAGCCTGCTGAAGTGTTTTATCCACGCATAGTGGTACTTACCACCGTGCTGGATCATGAATATATTGATCACGCGGCGACCCTTCATTGGGCTGATCCTGTGCACGTTTTGAAGGCGAAACACAGCGAGATGAAGGTTATTTGCACACGATGAGCACTTCACAAGCCATATAGAATAGTAACTTTTAATTGCTAAGCCATGGCTCAGCATCGCTTAGCATTGCTTAGCACTTCATAAGCCACGGGTTGGTTGGACTTGAGCACGAGCTTAGCATGCTTAGTTTTGGCTAGCTCACTTTTCACTTGTTCCCGTTCTAGTTTGCTGATCACATCGTTTTCCCTCAAACATTCCTCGAACGAATCCCTGTCCTTGCAGTTGAATAAGGCTACCCATCGCGTCTGTTCCCTGAAGTCTTTCAACACTGAGTTGAACTTCTGTGTCAGCACCCAAACGCTATGCTTTGCGTGGCGGCCGGAGAAGGCTAAATACGATAGCATGTCTCTCTTTTTTTCTTATCTCTTTATTAGCACTGCAGTCGTCCAGGATAAACAGCGTCGACTCCCCTTTAAATTTCCCGTGATAAGCTTTCAACCAATCCTGCAGACGTGTTCCCGGGTCGACTTTGTGCACGTCCGGGTCCTTCATCACCCAAGATCTTTCCATGTACGTTTTGTTGATGTGCAGAGTAGGGCACATGATAACGACATTGTCAAAGGTATCCCTTTAGTAATTCTCCAGCATATCCAGCACGAAAACAGTCTTCCCACAACCAGTCTGCCCGTACACTATGGCGCAGTGTGCATCGCAGGGTAGATCAATAGATGGCTTGCACGAATCTCCCATTATCTATATTAAGCTGCGCGTCCATAATCACGTACAGATATAATTTCAACTTGCCCGCGGGTTGAGCCTTCTTGGTAATCTGGACGGTTATCCCCTCGCTGCCGTTGTCGATGCGGCGTCGCTGCCGTGCAATTGATTGTCGTGCGTGGATCGCATGTCCAACCATACCACGTACTTCGTGGTCAGGTATTCACCGATCTGCACGGAGCTTAGATCCAGGTCCTTGATAACGTGTTGGTGTCGGTTCGGTAGCTTCGTTATTTCATCCCACTGTTGGTGTGCCCTCATACCAGCACTGAACAGCTGGTTGGGCACGCCCTCGATGGTCACTTCCAACTTCATGATCTCGGGGTTGAAAAACTTCTTGCTGTCCCTTCGGAATGGCTCGCAATCCTCCACGGGAACGATCAGGATGACTTTCATCGATCGCGCCGGCACATTTAGGTTGATATTCCACACCGTGTCGCTCTTGTCCAGTATGACCATTCTATGCCGCAGTATGCAGTCGTAGAGGATGGCCACCTTCCCCGAGTACTGTGTTCGAACCGGCCTGGCCAGCTCCGGGCTAGTGACCATGTCGAACTCCAGAGAGATGTTGTCGATGGCATAACTGGCTTCATCACCGTTCGGCGTACGCACGACTTTGCCATAGTCGTTAAACGTGAACTCGTATTCAAGTCTATCAGCCAGTGTGGCCTGGTAAAACGGCACGTGCCCAGTGAGCAACTCGAAGTCGAGCGGCACGCAGAACCTGTTCCTGTAGGTTTGGGTGATGGCCTTTTCACTAGCCGAGACCTTGTCGAGCTGGTCTTGCATGAAGCCGTATGCGATGCGCAACCTGGTCGACTTGTTGATGCCTTGGTACGCGTCGTTGACGCATTCTTCATCGCTTTTCCAGAGGTCAGCGTAGCAGTAAAACACGTCTCTGTCGTCTATACTCAACACCTCGTTGCCGCTGATCTTGATGGTGTTTTTCTTGATGATTGCCCAACCTACGTTCCGCACGAGCTTGCGTTTGTCATTGTCAGAGGTCAACGTAATGTTGAATGCCAGTCGAACCGTGCCGGGCACGATGAGGTCGTTCTCGCCCAGGTTGGGGAATCGAACCAGCAGCGTTTGGTTATGATCTATCTTGCTAGGATTGTTGGTGATGGTCACCGACTGGCGCACGGCTCTAACGCCTAGAGGCTCCCTTGATCTCCGGAAAGGGTCTAGCTTCCTACCATATGACATTGTTATATACATGAAATATATAAGTTTAACATATTTAAATAAGGCTGAAGGTTACGATGCATCCAGGTGGATGATATGTGGGATACACTATTACACTCCCACTCGTTCGGAGAGGAGGAAACCTCGTTCACGCAAGTCGACGAACTTGTGAAGCAGGCTGCCGCCGAATACTACGACGGGTTGAGGCGTAAACACAACGTCGTTCCGTTAGGACGAGACTATTCCAAGTTCACTATTGAAAAGAACGACACGCTGCGATTGAAGGCTCAGCCAGGGATCAATCTCGTGAACAAACGCACAAGAGAACCGCTTGCCCTGTCGACACACATCAGTCGCCATTGTGGGCAACTGATCCGCGATGCACTAAACCTCATAGATTATCGGCCCAAGCTTCCCCCGAAGGCCATCCAAGATCTGCAAGCAGCCAGGGCCGAACTCAACGATGAGCCCCAACGTGCCATCGATGAATTGTTGGCCATCTACCATAACAAACCCTTACCCGGCGATCGACGCCCACATCGCCCGTGAAAAGACCAAACTCAGTCAGGCTGACGAGTCTCTGAAAGCCACCATCGAGGAACGAATACGCAATTTGGAAGAGGAAAGGTCGACCCGGCTTGAAGCGGCGTCCTCCTTCCGAGAACAGCTTCGATCCCAGATCAGCCTAGGGCGGGAAACCATCGATCGAGTCCTCTACCAGGACACCACGCTAGCTGACAGGATCCGAATCCTCTTCCGAGAGGAAGGGATCACCATCGCCAGCATTCTGAAGGCATTGGGCTTCATCATATCAACCCTGGTCGTATCGATGACGGGAGGTACACCAACACCCCCAAGTTTTGGCGACGCCAGAGACTGGGTGAGAAGACACCTGAAATCCCTTGGGGAGGCCCTGGCTAAACTCGCGGGTACGGCCGCCGAAGCCCTGCCCGGCATCCTGGGTAGCATCGTCTCGTGGTTGCTGAGCACGCTGACTAAAACTGTCACGTGGCTCGGCCAAAACCTGTGGGCAGCCATCGTCGCCGTGGCCGGGCTGGCGTTCGTCTTGGCTAAGGAGTTTTTAACCAAATGAGGCCGATTGCAATCCCAGCAATGACTAGCGATATGTTCCTTGTTCTCAGCCATTTCACGTAATGAAAGTGGCTGTGGCTGTGCGGGCCGTACCCTATGCCCGTTTCACGGGTTGTGGGAGGTGGGACGTGACTTTAGACCGGGCGTATTCCAATACGTGTTGGTAGCGTTGGATGGCACTCGGCAGGTCGACCGGGGCAGCGATGGTATCCTCGGCGTTGGCAACGAAACTGTTTCTGAGCGTCGTAAGCAGTCCCATTACCGATGATGCTGGAACACGTTTGCGTCTGCGCACCCAACAGCACCCACACGTACGTTCGAATCGAGCCGTTCAATCTGGTGACAACGGCACGAATAAACCCTTTCGACGTGTCCAGCATGAACATTTTCCAATCGTCCGCAACACCAGCTTTAAAGTTCATACGGTCATCTCGCCATTCATTACTTGACAAAGCAAAGTCCTGGTGTGGTACATCTCGTTTCAGTAAATCATCACTGACTTCTTTCACGGGTCGCCCCCCATCATATGGAATACCAAACCCGTGGCTCGGTCCCGGCAAACGCCAATCCGTCCTCGGGTCTAGTTTGAATTCATTGCAAAGGCGTTCGTAGGCCCGTCTATCGTACGGGTTGTTTACTGCGTCCCATGCTTTGTCCTGTGGGAGCGGAGCGCTGATCTCTTTGAGGATATGCCTGACCTGGTAGTATACGTGAAATGTGAACACAGACTGACTCAGCAGTCCCCGCCGAGTATCGGTCAACGTCAAGCCACACCCAGTCGTCGCACACCAGACGGCGAAGTTGAGTTGATTCTGCCAGAACTGCATCGGGTTGTTTAACCAGGTGTGGACTGCCTTGATGTTCGTCACCGAAAGCCTATAAGTGCCGAACACATCAATGAAATGGGCTCCGAAGAGCCGCGGTGGACCAACATCAATGATGGCAACAACAAGCTGTTCGTCAGTGGCGTCCGCAATCACATAACTAACGGCTACTACAGCGTGTGCTCGCTAAGCGATGAAGTCTTCGAGCCCGTGGGAGACGAACTCAAGATTAACGAATCAAACGGCACGGTCGTGTTAACCAAAAACGGAGTAAAGGCCTTCAGGCTCGGCCGACCATTGGCGAGGACACTCGGGCTGCTGCCGGACGAGATAAAACCCACAATGACGGTCACTGGTTCGAAGTAACCCGACCTAGTCCCGTACCGCGAGCTGTGCATTCATCTCGGCCAGCCGAGCACGACGGACAACATTCAAGGTGGCCACCCTTCCACGCTGTTGAGAGCCATACCGGTGAAGACGGAGAAGTACAACGACGGAAGAACCGAGTCGTTTTCACCGCGGCAGTACAAGAGGTTAACTCTGGGCACTATCCCGGAGTTGGTAATATCAGTGTTAGATATAAAGCATAATCCTGTTAATATAGGATACCTCAGCATAACGCTACACATAAGATGACTAGCGCACAAGGACCCGGAAGGGTGAAGAGATGCGTCAATGTAGGGATCTCCGACCTCGGGGACACACGCGGGTTCGACGACACCGGAGTAGAGGGTAGACTGTATGACTTACAGCTTAAAAACAGCATTTACAAACGCGTTGAAGTCCCCTCTTGTAGAACCCTAGGTGATAATGTCGATACATCAGGAGCGTCCCTCAACACTCGGCTCGACCTAGTTCGCTTTGGTGATGATAGATGGTCGGGATACCCATCGTTCGGCGGTAAACTGTTCGACTTAGAAGACGTCGAGAGCACGACCGTTGCTCGAAACAAGCCATATACGCTCGTCTTCACCGAGTGGGTGCTGTTACCCTCTCGAGTCGACTGGTTTCTCAACATTAGTCTCGGTTCCCCCTACGTGTTCTCGGAGAACAAAGACAACTACCTAAACAAAGTCGTGAACAACAGAACCCTGCTCGTGGCTTACGTCCCGAGGCAGAGGCGTAGCGTAGTCATCAGCCCACTCTCCAGTATGGCAGCCCACATGCTATCAAGTAAGCCCGGGGCGCAAAACGTGGCATTGCAGGTGGTGTCTGAATTCGAAGGCGTGGTCAACATCCTGGGGAGTCTACCGGCGAACTCCACGCTGGCCATCCAAATCTACCTAGGTGAACCACAGCCCGAAGTCGAAGTCGTGAAGGGGATCAAACTCCGGTGGATGAAACAACACCAGTATCAGGTTTGCACTGTTTACGTGCGGGTGGGTGTCGGCTCCCACACCAGTCTGCAGGGGGTCACCGTGACCGTGGAAGACACGATATCACTCACCAAGATATTCCTACCAAACAACATACACCTCATGGGGATGAAATGCACCGCTTAGAAAAACAGTTGGAAACTATCTCGTGATAGTAATATAGCAATGACCAGACATCGGCCCAACGTCACGCTTAACGACCTAGGAGACATGGAGCGGTTCGATCTGCCCGGCGAGGAAGACATCTTGTACGTCCAACATTGTCGTATCGTCATACGACGGAGCTCGGGACCCCTCACTGGGGTTGCTGCCCCCCTTAATAAGCAACGATAAAGTTAGTATAGAACAAGAGTTACCTATTGACCTTTCCCTTATTCACCTACACGAGCACGTAGGCCTTATAAGCCTCAAGTACACTGATCGACTATTAAATGAAGTCCAATTAAAAAATATCTTGTAGTATATATCATACGCACAGGATGGGCCTGTATCCAGTCGTTGAGGAAGTAGTGAATACACTGGAAACCGTAGACAGGTTCCGCTTGAGGCAGTTATGCGACGTAAAACGCCAACTAGAACAAGACCGCGACACACGGGCAGCGTTATCTAAGAAGTACCATAGAGCTTTCAATGTCGTGGACGGGGCCGATACCGCCCTTATGACAACCAGCATGGGACTTGGGGCTGTAGGTGTCGGTTTGTTGACCACCATTGTAGCCGCTCCCATAGTGCTGGGCATTGAAATAACAGCTGGGGTGTCAGGGTTGATGGGGTTGGTGTTTAAATTTGCATCCCACAGACTGCATCGTAAAGCGCGCTGAAGCACGACGAGATCAGGGTTCTAGCTGAAGCAAAGTTGAACACGGTAAGCGACCATATCTCCACGGCACTCACAGACAACAAGATCTAGGAGGAGGAGTTTCGTTTGGTCCTCTCTGAACTCACCAAGTACCATGAGATGAAACAAGAGATTCGAACCAAGTCGTGTGAGACTGCCGTCAGCGAAGCCGAGAAAGAAAAGTACATAGAATAAGGCATACAACAAGCCCGGCAAGCCTTCATCACGAAGACCAAACAGCTCATAGGCGATTCACATTAAACTGTTTCCTCGAGGTCAACACGACATAAGGCGATCACAATAGTATCACGTGATAAGGAAAGTGTTGGTTCGCGGTCATAGTGACCAGGAAGTTAACTGGGGAATCAAACAGTGGTATATACAATAGCGGAGAGAGATAAGGGCCTGACAAAAGCTTTATTTCATAAATGAAGCTTTACAGAGTCTTTTGTTGGAATTGATATTGTACCGCTATTGTATATACTACTCTGGATTGTCTGGCCCAGACTCAATTATTTACAGGCTGCCAACATATAACTGAAATATTGCTTCGGTGTAAAGAAACAAACAAACAAACTGATCTCATGTTAAAGGTAACCTTAGGAGTACACCAGGATGTATTTACACATTTTCACAGGTCTATATTGGGCCCCAAGTCTACAGAAAATTCCAAAATTTGAATTAACCATGTAACTAATGTTATTGGGATCAGTGATGAGGAAGATGCGTTTGAATTCCTAGATTTACATTGTTGATATGGATGCATGATGAAAGTATGTTCTTCGGATGCTCATGAATTTACATAAATAATATACAAAATAATTCCCAAATCTAAACAAAATAATGTCTTTTCCCCCAAATGTACCTGCCAAGGACACTTTGTTTAGAACCACGAAATCCTGGTACTTGTAGAATTTGAGGTTGTTTGATCAATTTATGTGGTTTGCTATGGCTGATACAGGTCATTGTTACCCAGCTGGAACTATGTTCATGAAGTCAATCACTGGATTGTCTGGTCTTGACTTGATTTGACAGAGACTGCTGTCGAATAGATAGTATATTGCGGAGTGCGGCTTTAAACAACGTAGAAATAAATTGTTTTTGAACCTTTCTTTCTTCAGTATGATGGCTGCCAAGGTGAAGGACTGTGACCTGCTGTGTATCGGGAAGTGGACCAATCTGAAGTATCTGCAACTGACAGGGGTACCAGGTGAGATGACTGTACTATAGAATCTCCCAAGGTCATTCTAATTCTCCCCATTTGGCCCTCCATCACTGATGGAGCTGTTCTGGCTAGGCTTTATATTCCTGCATTTTAAAGTTACTTTGGTGAATAGAACATAATATTGATCGTTTCGACGATGACATTACATGATTGAAAGATTAATACCCTTGTGAGTTTTCCTTTTGTAAATGAAATTGTTTAGGAATATGAAACATGTATGACACCTGCCAAAGGCTTGCATAATAGAATTCTTATGCTTATTGTTTGAATTTTCCAGTATGAAACCACTCGGCTATGTGTGAAATGTTTTGTCCCTTACATCAATATCATCCCTTTTATAATAATCATAATCATTGTTCCATTATCAGCATTGAAATAATCATGCTAATCCATTACACTATTTTCTGAATAGTCTGTGTATCATAATTTTGATGTCGCAATCCATGATTGTCATAAAACTCGACCCCTTAAAATCATCATCGCTGCATTGACTGAACATGTCATCATGTCCCAAATGCATATATCGATGCTCATGATGTTAATCACTGGATAGTCTGGTCCAGGCTCCTCCACTTGCATATAGCTGGAATACCACTCTTATGTAGTATTAAATAATTAACCAACAAATCTTTGTCATATACTTAAAGCACGCAATATATGTTATGTATATATATGTGGTTACATCGAAGATGAATTTCTCCACTAACTTATGCAGATGAATTGCACGAGGATCATGCATCAAATTGCTGGAAAGCATGTGCAAATATCGTGCATGTGAACAGCTGTGTTTTGGTGTAAAGTTTTGTTAAGATTACGCCAATTTTCACTCATTTTCATCATTTGTTGAACTCATGACAATCATCTTTTCAACGTTACGAATTTGTTTTACAATACATCAGTTCATGTGTAAACAGTACCCTTAAACTGTATAGAAATTTTGCAAAATCTCGTTTAGATCAGTTGACTGAAGTAAGTGGCTATATTTACACTAGTGAGTCTATACTTTTGATGGGGAGTGTATAATGAACCAATACTTTTAATGTCCTTAGTTTTATTACTTCTGAGAAATAGGGTATTTGTACTGTCTGCTGCTTGACTTTGGGTAGATGGGCAGGTCCTGAGCAGGTGTAGATGAATCTGAACAGTGAGCTGGTGCACTGTTTCATATGTATCTATCTCTGTTGAAGGTATTCACCAGGGTCAGTGTTTGGTTGCTATAGCGAAGGGTTGCGTCCACCTGGAGAGGATGTACATAGCTCACCTGGGCATGTCGGGGAACTGTCAATAAATCCGCTCACTCTGTGAAGCCTTCAACCACTTCCAGAAACTCAGGGACCTGAGGTGTGTAGAACATCTTGGGGATTGTTACCACAGTTACTAGTTTGTGTGTGATTGGAGAAACTGGTCTGAAATTAGACAGATGATGACCAAGATAAAGTCAACAACGGCACGCAAATCAACTTGCTGTTGATCACTAGACTGTCTGGTCCAGACTCGATTATTTACAGACCGCCGCCATATAGCTGGAATATTGCGGAGTGTGGCCTAAAACTAAACTCACTCAGTCACTCACTCACTCACTCAGTGGTGATTTCATTGATTGTATGTCATTACACACTGACAGATTGCAAAGTTGCAAAACAGCCGGTTTGTTTGGCCCAAGGCTGATTATGCGTACCGGTATGTCAGTGTACTGTAAAATATTGGGTACTGTAGCGTAAAACTAGGAACACAACATCATCGATAGTGCCTTATGTTGACAATCACTGGTTTGTTCGGCCCATGTGAGTCATATGGGTGGTGGGCGGTGGGGTAGTGGTTAAAGTGTTCACTCAGCATGTCGAAGGCCTGGGTTCGATTCCCCACATGGGTACAATGTGTGAAGCCCATTTCTGGTGTCCCCCTCCGTGATATTGCTGGAATATTGCTAAAAGTGGCGTAAAACTAATCTCACTCACTCATATGGGCGTTTGATGATGATTATAGTTAAAAAAATGTTTTGTCTTGACGGATTTCTTTCATACTGAAATGTTTTTTATGTGGTAGTGGGCTGGTCAAGAGTTCCAAACATTGACAGCGGAAGACCCACGTTCCCAACATTGGGACAGTTTCTAAAGCTGTGATGTTGCTGGAATACTGCTACATACTGCCTACTATCATACTCATGTGATGATGCTAATGATGCATACCTCTCTGTTCGCTGTAGACTTGAGCAGCTGTGATGATGCTTCCAATGATGCTTGCTGTATTAAACACTGCCTCTCTGTTCTCTGTAGACTTGGAGCTTGCTGTAGCCTGTACTTGAAGCTGGATAGCTTGCTGTATTAAACACTGCCTCTCTGTTCTCTGTAGACTTGAGTAGCTGTACCTGAAGCTGGATAGCTTGCTGTATTAAACACTGCCTCTCTGTTCTCTGTAGACTTGAGTAGCCGTACCTGAAGCTTGGATAGCTATCTGCTGAAGCTGGATATTAAACACTGCCTCTCTGTTCTCTGTAGACTTGAGCAGCCGTACCTGAAGCTGGATAGCTTGCTCTATTAAACACTGCCTCTCTGCTCTGTAGACTTGAGTAGCCGTACCTGAAGCTGGAAATTAAACACTGCCTCTCTGTTCTCTGTAGACTTGAGCAGCCGTACCTGAAGCTGGATAGCGTCTTCTTCTCAGCCTGCTCCAACTGTTCCACGTTTGAGAGACTTTGTATTCTGTCCAAAAACGCTACCTTCATAGATGCTGCTGCAGTAAACAAGTTTGTTGACAAGGTAGGTTATGTCATCCATCATAAACATCGTAAGGCCAGTCTTTGTTTATATTTTTCAGCTGGTTTCACTTATCTTCTCAGAGGAATTTCTTTGTTCTTCAAGAATGTATTAGAATATGTTGTTTTGTTTAAATTATTCTTGTGTCATCAAGAATTATAATTCAATGATATTTTGTCTGGACTGTTTTGTTTGCTGAAATGGAAGACTACATATACTATATTTGGAGTTTGACTTCCTGGGTAAAGTTCAGTTGAGTACTTTCGAGGTTTAGCACAACCAGGAGAACCCATACACCTAATCGCTAGCAAGCAAACTCAGCAATCTAATCCATATATCCACAATAGCTTCTATCAATCTGACAATCTGATCACTTACTTTGTGTACCCTCAGATAAGTGTAAACTTGCACGGCTCCCATGGTCAAAGTTGTGAATACACAATGCCTTTTAGAAATTGGTTAACTGTAAAATGTTATATTTGGGATTACACTTTCTCAGTGAAAACCTTGTGTATTAATAACTTCGACTATGGGAGCAGTGTCATTTTACACTTGTCAGAGGGGTATCTGTACTTTCCTGAGAAAGTGTAATCTTGAGTATAACATGTTACATTTGACCACTTTCTTAATGATATTGTGTATTTATGCTTGTGATTCTCTGAATGCATGGTGTGTAGGATAAACTGACACTGTACTGTGAACTCATTCTCTGTTGCAGCTGCAGTCCCTGGTGTCGTTACAGCTGTTTACATGTGCAACTCTCACCAGCTGTAAACACCTGCAGACTTCACTGATGCGCAGGTAGGTTTCCATGGTTACAAGGTGTAGCCAATCAATGGATGGTAAATGGCAGTATATATTTAATGTTTGTCTTGAAGGTTGACGAAGGATCTTGGAGGTATAATTTTGTGTTCCTCAGAGTGTGGAATTGTCATCTATTGGGAATCCATTTGCAGTGTATTTGAAGTTAATTTTTCACCAGTATTTAGTGTTGTAGCCGATCATTCTCATTTATGTTTTATAAAGAAAATGGTAAACATCTGAGACCTGCAATACTTCAGACTTTTCTCCAACATTATGGAGTGAGTGAGTGAGTGAGTGAGTGAGTGAGTTTTTTTAGCAATATTTCAGCAAATACACCAGAAATGGGCTTCACACATTGTACCCATGTGGGGAATCGAACCCGGCTCTTTGAGGTGACGAGCGAACACTTTAACCACTTGGTTACCCCACCGTCCCCTCTATGACATGAATACTGTTAAAAGTAGCATTAAACCCAAACCCAGCACTCCCTTTAGGCTGCAACAGTCAATTGTCAAATTGCGCCGCGGTCTGTAAATAATCTAGTCTGGACCAGACAATCCAGTAATCAACAGCATGAGCATCGATCTGCGCAATGGGAACCGATGACATGTGTCAACCAAGTCAGCGAGCCTTACCACCTGATCCCGTTAGTCGCCTCTTATGACAAACATAGTCGCCTTTTGTGGCAAGCATGGGTTGCTGAAGACCTATTTTACCCCGGATCTTCACGGGTCTAAATAATATCTTCAAACTGCAAATGTTTCACCTTAGTGCCACCCCACCCCCCACCCCCAACCCCCACCCCCACCCCCCCCCACCCCCACCCCCAAAAAAGAAAAAGAAAACCCTGTAAAAATATGGCAATTTTGAATGAGATTTTGTTTTCCAAATTGCTTGCTTTGCACTTATTATTTTAATCCTATGTAAATGCTTTCTTTTGTTTCAGATTTGAAAAATCCAGACCAGCTTTATCAGTGTGCATACACCCCTTGGTTCATGATGAACTCTCCGAGCTGACTACCCATATCCCTGTGAAACACCTGGAAGAGCTCACTGTGCTAGGATCAGGGGTGTGTCTTAAACCGCCACGGTGGCCATGGTAACAGCCAATGGATGAAAACCTTAACAGCCATGACCAATGAGATTTCAGACTGTGATATGCTCATGTATTCCACTGACTCTATTTTTGCAATGTCTGTCCTCTAGTGCTTCCTCTTGAGTGAAGAGCTGAAATGTATGGATGCTAGTATTACAATCAAAATGTGGCCTGTGTATTTGGGGATTGCTCAGTTATGAGATAGGGGGCAAGGGAAGGTGGAGAATTCACCCAACATCACATGGGAATAAAAACTGATGCAAATGACAAGTCTCATATTTGGTATCAATGGTTTACGAAACTTCAGGTTGATGGTAGATTAGAATTGCCAGCATCTACATTAGAATTTTCTATGATGAATAAGGGACCGTTCGTAATTAATGGCAAGGGGGTAGATAATACAAGATGTTTATTTTGAAAAGGCCACATGACCCTCAGTACAAATAATAATTAAAGTTTATGTTAATTATCAGTACATGTACATCAATGGTGAAGTTGTTGGGTAGGCTAGTGGCTCAAGTGTTTGTTTATCATGCCATGGATCCAGGTTTGATTCCAATCATGGGTATGTGCACCATGGGATAGAGTCACCCAACATAAGACATCACAGAGTTAACCTCAGTGGTCATGTTGACAAGGCTCCAGCCTTAGATGACATCAGTCTTTCAAATCCCACAAGAATTGTATGCCCTACTGGTGTCCAACATTTATCTGAGTATGTTCATATCAAGTTTCAGGAAAAGTAACTGCACCCTATTTAGAGAAAGGAAGGGCTTCAATGATGGGGATTCTGATGATGAAAGAAGGTACATACCACGACATAGAATCATCCAAAGTTGACTATGGTTTGTCAGGAAGTGGACAGAATAACCCTCTCTACTCACGTAGACGAAGCTTGTGATCTCATATCAGAATCCAGTGTGTGGACTCACAGTTAGAACAGGGAGCTGTTGTACAAAACAACCTTAGCGCTAAGACAACCTTAAGTCTATATTAAGGTATGGGTGTTATGGTCACTTTAGCGCTATGATTGCATTGTACAACGACACTCTGATCCACAGCAGTGACTATGTAAAGATTTACGCCGCTTTTAGCATTATTCCAGCAATATCAGGTCCAGGGATATCAGAAATAGGCTTCACACATTGTACCCATGTGGGAAATGAACCCAGGGCTTCGGCATGGTGAGCAAACACTTTAACCACTAGGCCACCCCTCTGTTCTTGGTCCACAACTTATGCTGGACCTAAGAGGCAAACAAAGGGACTGGGTGGTCAGGCTTGGTGACATGGTTGATGCATGCCATCCTATCCTAATGGAATGGTACGTTGCTGACAATATTAATCATCAGATTGTGTGATCGAAAATCCATTATTTACATGTTGCCATCATATAGCTGGAAATATAGCTGGAGTGTGGCATTAAACTTCTAGCAAACATCAGAAAGTCTCTAGTTTCAAATTGTATGAGGTAACTTTATGGCTGCTACGTATGAATTGACATTTATTGACTAATATACTGAACAATAAGGATAATAAATATGTTATTTTGTGGATCTTGCACTTTTCCTTTCTGTAATAAATGACCAGTGCCTTATGTGATGTGTTGAATGCATTGAAGGTGCATGGGGAAAGGTTGGCGAGCAGTCTAAGGCTATGTGACTATGTGTCCCAGTTCACCCAGCTGCAAAATGAGGATAAGGCTGTGTGACAACTCGCTGCACCTAACAGGTTGCATGAGTTGAATATTCCCCATGGAGTTGAGTTGGTGCCGAAAAGAATGCCAGAAAAAAAGACATCCGTTGATCAACACTCCAGGGCCTTGAGCATGTACTAGTTACGTGGATATGTGCGCTATATAAATATATCGTATATTAATAATAAAAATAGTAATAATAATTATGAGAATCAAACCTTCAACAATATTGACCTGAGAGGTGTCCTGTAATATTTCAGCTTTTTGTCATTTATTTTGTCATTTTTTGTAAAAAGACTCCTGAAGATCCTTGGAGAATTCACCTTCAGCAGCCCCACTCTCCTACCCAGAGTTCCATGCGGCAAGCCAGCATAGTACCTCTGCCACAGGCCAGAAAAATGTGACGATTCGTCACATCTTGCAATGTCCATTCAATATAATATACATATTTCTTTTACTTTTTATTTTTGACGAGTCTACACATCTAACTAAACATCTTTAATAGAATGGTTTAGTTTCACTGAGAAAAATCCAAAAACATGTAACACTATTTCGATTTGCGTAGCGATCCTTTGTTTACATAGGTTGTACGGCTCCACGTGCTGTCATCGAAGCTGATCGAGAGCAAACGATGCAGCCAGTTTGATATCTAAATATGTACTGTCATAGACCTTACTGTCGCAGTTGTGGAAGAATATATATGTAACAATGTAAAACATTATGAAGTGAGCGCCGAAAAGCTTTCGTGAGTCCAGTCTTTTCTTATTATGAATATGCGCGTTTGATTATAAACAAGAGAAAAGTCCGGTCACGTGATATGCAAATTAGCCTGTGGCAGTGATGTTATGTTAAGTCATCGCTGTGCCGGAGTGTGCAGCAACCCATCCTTGTCATTGCACTAACGGGATCACGGGATCGGGTGGTCAAGCTCGCTGACTTGGTTGACACGTGTTATTGTAACCCAAATGCGCAGATTGATGCTCATGATGTTGATCACTGGATTGTCTGGTCTCATTTTTTGTAAAACTAGACATTTCATGGTTTGGGGAACCGTCTGTATACAAATTATAGGTGAAGACATGGTCCTGCAAACAAACAATCGTGAGGATTCCTATATACCATCTACCAGTACGCTCTTACACACACTGATGACAAAACCTTTCCATGATCACTGGGGAAATATTTTCAGAGGTACAGATAAGCTGCGTATCTACGTAAATTACGCAAATATATATGTGAAAACTCAATTCCTATTAAGTCTATTGCATACAAGTACGCTTGAATTTTTATAAATAGTAGTACTCAATAAATGTGATCTTACATGCGTACACACAAATATGTCAAGTCTTAGCATGGGTACCGGTGGATAGATAAAATAACAGGTATATTCAGTGGCTCTATTTTATGACATGAACTTGGCAACTTGAAGTCTTTTATATCAAATATAAATAATAACACTTAATAGCTCGCAAGTCATTAGCAGCTTGTTCCAGCTCTACAAATGAATAAAAAAGGGGGAAAATCATTAAAACCACAGTAAATACCGATATTGATCCGGTTCCATCATATCACTGAAGTTACTGACGTACCAGATGAACTATTGAACAGGAGAGGTTCTGGTTGATCCTTAACTTATTTTAAGTAGAATACGATTTGTTATGTGGGTTGTTCGTTCAACTGAGGAGAAATAATACCCATGATGCAACCCTCGCCATGTAGTGAGATGTATCATGTAGTCATGGTAACGCAGGCCGCGTAGAGGAACCAGAGTTAGAAGTTCTGTCACACGTCACACTGAGACAGTCGCAGGAAAGTAGCTCGGACTGAAAGACTTCTATAAGTATCTCACGAAGGAAATTATGAAATCGAATCACCTTTTACTTACTGGTTTTGCAGGATTGACTGCAATCCTTTGTGCACAATGTACCGTTTCGAGTTTTTACCAGGAGGTACAGGCAGGTGTTGACGCAGCAATGGTTTTCGACTACGTACAGACGACGTCAGTCCCTCAATGTGCCATCAACTGCAACGGCGTCGCCAACTGCACCGGTTTCATCTACTGCAACATCGACAACAGATGCTCCATTTTGACATCGGATCAGCCTTCCGTTCCCGTCAGCGTCCCCTACCCGACCTGCAAGGCATTCTTAGAGGTCACGACCTCCAGTCAGGTGAGTTCAAATTTGAATATTTTCAGGGTAGATAATTGTAAATCAATTAAAGATATTAAAGAATTAAATATGAAAGATACAATGACTGGTTTCAGCTATATCGTGACTGGACGATATTGAACAATTAGAACAGTCGAAAATCGTGTCGTGCTTGAATGTGCCGAAATCACCATCAATAACTCATCATAATTTCTACTCTGTCAAACTGAGCGTGTGGAATGGGCTTCTCCCAACAAGTTGGACACAAAAACTGTATATATAACCTGTAAATCCAGAAATGTGTAGTATTCTTCGTTGTTGTATTTTGGATAATGTTAAACTGGGCAAGTGAGTATGGTTTTACACCACCTTTAACAATAAAGGAATGTGACTTTGGGGAATACTAGAAATGGCCTTCAGACATTATATACATAAGGGGAGTCGATTCCGTATCTTTCGGCATAACAAGCAAGCACTGTAACCACAAGGCTACCCCAACACTTGTTAGGTTGAAAATCCATTTTTGCCTTGATTGAATTCTTCTTGCGTAAATGCTCAGGCCTTGTGACCCTTTGCTTAAACAGGACACAACGAGTACTTTGAGGATAGGTTGCACGTACCATTATAGGTACAAGAACAATTTCTTCTTTGAGATAAGAAAGAAGTATTTTTGAAATCGCATTTTGAAGATACTGGCCAGTTGTGATGTCTCTTACCTTGGTCTTTCACCGTGCAAACATCTGGTGTGGTCCTTTGTATAAATGTGAGAAAAAACAACCTCTGTTTTGTTTTAGACCTCGTCATCATGCCAGAATGGTGGAAGCTTTCTTGGTGCTGCCTGTCAGTGTCCACCTGCCTTCACAGGAGAGAACTGTGAGACCAGGATAGAAGGTAAACCTTCAGTTACAGATATGGAATATTTTGTTATCAGGTCCTATTTATGTGATCCTGTTTTGTAAGAATCATTTCCCAGAAGTTTCATTTGTATGTGTAACCGGACTCACCAATCGTGAAGATCTCTGCAAGGAAGCAAAAGATGAATTCCTAAAGAATTCCTGTTAAAGGTCACATGCAACGCAAAACACAACTTTGCAGATTCTGATACCTTTCGGTAGAGACTTACAGTAACAAATTATCGAAAATGCAAATTCAACTTATAAAGTTGAAAAATAACGCGATGAAAAGTGGGGTGAAAAGTGGTTTCAACAGCTGTGCTGCGCTGCGCCCATAGTGATTAGGTTCGCGCGGCTTGAACCGGGAAGGCGACTCGTAAAAACACAGCAAGTGATGCGTGCAAGGATTATCGCTGTGGTCGAAGTTGGAGAACAAAAGATGTTACTTGTGATTACAAGCATCCTGGGTCTGCAGTAATAAAAATACACTGGTCCCATACTTGGTTGCAGATTTGCAAACCAAGTTTTCAAGAAAGTGTAGCATTAGAAATACTAATTTCATTGTTAAAAATTGCTCAGCTTGAAACTGGAATGTTTAATACATGTCTATGGAAACACAGAAAACTATGTTGATTGTGATAAGCAGTCTCTGTCACAGAAAAAACTCAATATCTGTTTTATTGACACCTATGTGTCTGCCTGCCTGTCTGCTAATGACAATATGCAATACACAACTTCAATCATTGACCACATGCAATTGGCACTTAACACCTATCAGGCTATACACCACAAACAAAATACATTGATTTATGGGTCGTGCACCTGAGTTTTGTCTCTGTCACATTATGTAATTACACAGACAGGCAGGTGTGATACTTGTACACATGACATGTTATTATGTCTGTGGGTTGCAAAAAAACTGCATCCATTTTTCTCGGATGACTGGATCGGACGGAAACCGGTGCAAACTCAGATTGTCACTTTCAAGTCCTGCTTTGTATTTTGACCAGGAAGACTATATGTTGTAGATTATCCCTGCTTAGACGAACTACAGTTTCCAGCCACGCAGTAGTTCAACATCTCAGCATTTGTTGATTGGATCGAACGCAAATGCAGAGATCATATATTTACAAAACCCAGCATCTCTATACACATTCTTTATGGATAACAACTTCTTTTATTGTATATGATGCTATGTTTCGGTATGGATTCTTATACCGTTGTCACTCTTACTTTCTTATTACTCACCAGACTTCTAAAATGCCAATCAAACAGATCATCTCTATATATACACACACACACACACACACACAATGAGCCCTCAGGGTATTGACAAATGAACCAGCCAATGAGAGACTTCGTCAAACCTGAGTGCACGCCCACTCGCTCTGACTGGGTTCGGTCTCCCGGGTGCTTCGTTTCGAGGGAAGTAAACCCAAGTACAAAATATTCGCGATTGTAGGCATATAATTTTGTTTATATGTTTTTTCACAATCAGCAATGTATATTATATGTCATGAATAAGTGATAATTGTGTTTTCATTATGTTTTTTGGTTGCATGTGACCTTTAAATATATCACCTTCCATCAGTACCGCCATATAGAAGTTGCGTCAGTTAGGCGCGAGGGACACCAGTGATGGTGGGTTCGAACCTCAGGTTGTCACTGTACATGCTTCCAGGTCAGTCGGCACAAACCGAGCTCATGGGTTTCACCAAAGTGTCACGTGGTCAAGCTGACAGACAGTGCTGTAGTTGAAATGCTGTTGAAAACGAGTTGACTCTCTTACTTCGTATTGTGAATCACAGTTCAGTTATAACAGAGTCTCTATTTCTAACCAATTCGAATACCGTTCAAAGATGGGTTGTCCAACTCTTTGGCGTTCTTGGTTGATTCCTTCATTGGTTTTGTCCATCATTGTCCATCATTTACCTGTGTTTGACAGTCATCACGTCACTGTTTCAGACTGTACAGACGTTTCCCTGTACGTTGGTAATTCTACTGGAACCTACACTGTCTGGCCGACTAACTCCCCACAACCGTTTGACATGGATTGTCATGGCGTCACTACCATGATCATGTTCAGGGACAAAACCATCAGTGGCTGTGATGCTGCGCCCGTGACGTACCTCAACGTTCCCTGGGCCGACTACAAGTCTGGTTTCACCCACTCGAACTGTTACATGTGGCTGGGTCTGGAGAAGATGTATGCTCTGACCAGCGTCAGACCTTACACGCTGAACATATCGTTGAAGAAATTTGATAGCACTGCCGGAAAGGTATCTTACAACACCTTCTCCGTAGGTGACGAGGCCTCGGAGTATCGGCTGTCGGTGTCGGGGTTCACTGGGGATGGCGTTTTCGGAGACCGCTTCTACCTGGGGTACCCAGCTAGAACCCTGGATGGGAGTCACTTCTGTGCCAAGGATCACTGCAAGAACTCAGTCAACCCATGTGCCAAGTGGCATGGTGGACCCTGGTGGAACAGGTTGGATTTCTGCCGGGCGAGTCCTCACCACATATATGACATTTACTGGTCTCTTGACGATGGTACCAAACACGAATGTAAAAGCATCTATATGTTCATAGTTCCTGCCTAATACTCAAACTCCCTAAAAATGTCAGTAGGCATAAACAATTTGCACGGTACTTGCACATAACGTTCACGACACATGCGAGATACATGCACGGTACTTGCACATAACCTTCACGACACATTCACTATACATGTACGGTACTTGCACATAACCTTCACGACACATTCACTATACATGCACGGTACTTGCACATAACCTTCACGACACAAGCGCTATACATGCACGGTACTTGCACATAACCTTCACGATACATTCACTATACATGTACGGTACTTGCACATAACCTTCACGACACATTCACTATACCTGCACGATACTTGCACATAACCTTCACGACACATTCACTATACCTGGACGGTACTTGCACATAACCTTCACGACACATTCACTATACCACGGTACTGGCACATAACCTTCACGACATAACCTACTTGCACGGTACTTGCATAACCTTCACGACACATTCACTATACATGCACGGTACTTGCACATAACCTTCACGACACATCCGCTATACATGCACGGTACTTGCACATAACCTTCACGACACAACAACTATACATGCACGGTACTTGCACATAACCTTCACGACACATTCACTATACATGCACGGTACTTGCACATAACCTTCACGACACATCAACTATACATGCACGGTACTTGCACATAACCTTCACGACACATTCACTATACATGCACGGTACTTGCACATAACCTTCGACCAATCCACTATACCTGCACGGTACTTTACACATAACCTTCACGACACATTCACTATACATGCACGGTACTTGCACATAACCTTCACGACACATTCACTATACCTGCACGGTACTTGCACATAACCTTCACGACACATTCACTATACCTGCACGGTACTTGCACATAACCTTCACGACACATTCACTATACATGCACGGTACTTGCACATAACCTTCACGACACATTCACTATACATGCACGGTACTTGCACATAACCTTCACGACACATTCACTATACATGCACGGTACTTTGCACATAACCTTCACGGTACGACACATTCACTATACACATGCACGGTACTTGCACATAACCTTCACGACACATTCACTATACATGCACGGTACTTGCACATAACCTTCACGACACATGCACTATACATGCACGGTACTTGCACATAACCTTCACGACACATTCACTATACACACGGTACTTGCACATAACCTTCACGACACATTCACTATACATGCACGGTACTTGCACATAACCTTCACGACACATTCACTATACATGCACGGTACTGTACACATAACCTTTCACACACATCCACTATACATGCACGGTACTTGCACATAACCTTCACGACACATCCACTATACATGCACGGTACTTGCACATAACCTTCACGACACATTCACTATACATGCACGGTACTGGCACATAACCATCACGACCAATCCACTATACCTGCACGGTACTTGCACATAACCTTCACCACACATTCACTATACATGCACGGTACTTGCACATAACCTTTCACGACACATCCACTATACATGCACGGTACTTGCACATAACCTTCACGACACATTCACGGTACTATACCTGCACGGTACTTGCACATAACCTTCACGACACATTCACTATACATGCACGGTACTTGCACATAACCTTCACGACACATTCACTATACCTGCACGGTACTTGCACATAACCTTCACGACACATTCACTATACATGCACGGTACTTGCACATAACCTTCACGACACATTCACTATACCTGCACGGTACTTGCACATAACCTTCACGACACATTCACTATACATGCACGGTACTTGCACATAACCTTCACGAACACACGATACATTCATATCACGGTACTTGCACATAACCTTCACGACCACATCACGGTACTTGCACATAACCTTCACGACACATTCACTATACCTGCACGGTACTTGCACATAACCTTCACGACATTCACTATACATGCACGGTACTTGCACATAACCTTTCACGACACATTCACTATACATGCACGGTACTTGGCACATAACCTTCACGACACATTCACTATACATGCACGGTACTTGCACATAACCTTCACGACACATTCACTATACACATTGCACGGTACTTGCACATAACCTTCACGACACATTCACTATACATGCACGGTACTTGCACATAACCTTCACGACACATCCACTATACATGCACGGTACTTGCACATAACCTTCACGACACATTCACTATACATGCACGGTACTTGCACATAACCTTCACGACACATTCACTATACATGCACGGTACTTTGCACATAACCTTCACGACACATTCACTATACCTTGCACGGTACTTGCACATAACCTTCACGACACATTCACTATACCTGCACGGTACTTGCACATAACCTTCACGACACATTCACTATACCTGCACGGTACTTGCACATAACCTTCACGACACATTCACTATACCTGCACGGTACTTGCACATAACCTTCACGACACATTCACTATACCTGCACGGTACTTGCACATAACCTTCACGACACATTCACTATACATGCACGGTACTTACACATAACCTTCACGACCTATGCACGGTACTTGCACATAACCTTCACGACCTATGCACGGTACTTTGCACATAACCTTCACGACATCATTCACTATACATGCACGGTACTTGCACATAACCTTCACGACACATTCACTATACCTGCACGGTACTTTGCACATAACCTTCACGACATTCACTATACATGCACGGTACTTGCACATAACCTTCACGACCATTCACTATACCTGCACGGTACTTGCACATAACCTTTCACGACACATCCACTATACATGCACGGTACTTGCACATAACCTTCACGACCATTCACTATACCTGCACGGTACTTGCACATAACCTTCACGACACACCTACTATACACACGGTACTTGCACATAACCTTCACGACACATTCACTATACATGCACGGTACTTGCACATAACCTTCACGACACATTCACTATACATGCACGGTACTTGCACATAACCTTCACGACACATCCACTATACCTGCACGGTACTTTGCACATAACCTTCACGACATATGCACGGTACTTGCACATAACCTTCACGACACATCCACTATACATGCACGGTACTTGCACATAACCTTCACGACACATTCACTATACCATGCACGGTACTTGCACATAACCTTCACGACACATCCACTATACATGCACGGTACTTGCACATAACCTTCACGACACATTCACTATACATGCACGGTACTTGCACATAACCTTCACGACACATTCACTATACATGCACGGTACTTGCACATAACCTTCACGACACATTCACTATACATGCACGGTACTTGCACATAACCTTCACGACACATTCACTATACATGCACGGTACTTGCACATAACCTTCACGACACATTCACTATACATGCACGGTACTTTGCACATAACCTTCACGACACATTCACTATACATGCACGGTACTTGCACATAACCTTCACGACACATTCACTATACATGCACGGTACTTGCACATAACCTTCACGACACATTCACTATACATGCACGGTACTTGCACATAACCTTCACGACACATTCACTATACCTGGTACGGTACTTGCACATAACCTTCACGACACACATTCACTACTCTATACATGCACGGTACTTGCACATAACCTTCACGACACATCTGCTATACATGCACGGTACTTGCACATAACCTTCACGACACATTCACTATACATGCACGGTACTTGCACATAACCTTCACGACACATTCACTATACATGCACGGTACTTGCACATAACCTTCACGACACATTCACTATACATGCACGGTACTTGCACATAACCTTCACGACACATTCACTATACATGCACGGTACTTGCACATAACCTTCACGACACATTCACTATACATGCACGGTACTTGCACATAACCTTCACGACACATTCACTATACATGCACGGTACTTGGCACATAACCTTCACGACACATTCACTATACATGGTACGGTACTGCACATAACCTTTCACGACACATTCACTATACATGCACGGTACTTGCACATAACCTTCACGACACATTCACTATACATGCACGGTACTTGCACATAACCTTCACGACACATTCACTATACCTGCACGGTACTTGCACATAACCTTCACGACACATTCACTATACGCACGGTACTTGCACATAACCTTCACGACATATACATGCACGGTACTTGCACATAACCTTCACGACACATTCACTATACATGCACGGTACTTGCACATAACCTTCACGACACATTCACTATACATGCACGGTACTGGCACATAACCTTCACGACACATTCACTATACATGCACGGTACTTGCACATAACCTTCACGACACATTCACTATACATGCACGGTACTTGCACATAACCTTCACGACACATTCACTATACATGCACGGTACTTGCACATAACCTTCACGACACATTCACTATACATGCACGGTACTTGCACATAACCTTCACGACACATTCACTATACATGCACGGTACTTGCACATAACCTTCACGACACATTCACTATACATGCACGGTACTTGCACATAACCTTCACGACACATTCACTATACATGCACGGTACTTGCACATAACCTTCACGACACATTCACTATACATGCACGGTACTTGCACATAACCTTCACGACACATTCACTATACATGCACGGTACTTGCACATAACCTTCACGACACATTCACTATACATGCACGGTACTTGCACATAACCTTCACGACACATTCACTATACATGCACGGTACTTGCACATAACCTTCACGACACATTCACTATACATGCACGGTACTTTGCACATAACCTTCACGACACATTCACTATATACATGCACGGTACTTGCACATAACCTTCACGACACATTCACTATACATGCACGGTACTTGCACATAACCTTCACGACACATTCACTATACATGCACGGTACTTGCACATAACCTTCACGACACATTCACTATACCTGCACGGTACTGGCACATAACCTTCACGACACATGCACTATACATGCACGGTACTTGCACATAACCTTC